TGGCTTTTACACATGACTGTACCACCTAGCTGGGGAGCTTGTAACACTGGACATTGTGCAGGTCTTAGGTGACCATATACTATTATGCCGGGACAACAGGCAGAACCAAGACCTGCCTCAGGCACAGCAGGACATGGGGTTTCCCTACATAGATTTACAATGGGGCCTGGACATCTCCTCTATCAAGCCTCCCAGCCCAAATGTAGGCTCTGTAGGACCAAGAACTGTTGCCTCTATGGTGCCCACAGAGCTGGGGTACTTCTGGAGTACTCAGATCCACTCGCTGCAATTTTCACAACAAAACTGAGGTGATACTCCATTATTTACTTACGATGAGCCAGGTACCATCCTCAGTAGTTTATATGCATCTCATTTAATTCTCACAAGACGTCTATGAGGTAGGTAGACTTATCTTCCATAGTTCCTAGGAAACTAAAGCTTAAAGGTTAAGTAACTCCTTCAAGGCCATACATCGGGTGAAGGGGTAAGAACTCATTCTTAGTTAACACTCATACTACTGCATCCGTTTTTATTGATCACTCCCTGCCCCAAACACACACACACACACACACACCTGCAGGCACCGCGCACTATGACGTCAGAAGTGTCCTGGCCTTTGCTAGGACACTGCGGGTCTCTGGCTCCACACAGCAAGGACCAGTCTAACAGCAGGTGGCAAGCTTGTCCTCCTTCCAAGCTACCACTGGGAGGTGTGTTTTCTTAGCAGCCCAGAGGGAGGTGGAGTTACCATCCTGAGTGGACTATTAGCTTCCACCAAAGAATCACTCAGGCAGCAGGATTCGGGCAACCTAGCAACTGCGTCTGTTACTGAGCTCAACTTTATGGCCGTCTTAAGGTCTCTGTTGGAACTTCCCAACTAGGCCAAAAGCCCTTTATTATGTCCTCCATGCCTGATTTTTTTTTTCCTACCCAAGAACACTGATAACTCGTACGGAAAAACGTTCGATGTGCATGAAGCCCAAACATGAAAAGCGGATGGAAAATCATCCTGGGGAACTACAAGCGAAAGGCTCAAAGAAAAGCGACCCATCGAAGTCGCGAAGCCGCGCAGGGGATACGACCCAGGTCCCCGGTACGTCGAGCTACGTCACCAAGACTCCGCCGAACCCCTGACAAGTTTCGCAGCACCCACGCGCCCCCTGGTGCGCACACTCAGTCCGACCCTGCCCGGCACACCGCCCACCCAAGTCCACCGTCCCCTCGGGTGTGCTGGCGGGGGGAAATGAGACGGAGTGCTCGCGTGTGCGCTTTTCTTCCTCAGTCAACACCCCAGTGCATGTAAAGCTGTTTTCCCACTTCCCAGAGCCGCAGGGAGCACCAGAGAATAGAAGGGGGAGGGGGCCGAAAGCAAGCAGGGTCTGAGAAGCCCGGGGAGCCTGCCACACTCAAGATGGCGGCGCGGCCGCGGCGAGGTCCCTCAGAGGCGGGACCAGCGCATGCGCAGCGCGGAGTCCCGTGCCGGGACACAAAATGGCGGCAGCGGCGCTGGGGAGGGCGAGGCGGAGGCGGCAAAACGGGCGGTCGAGCAGAACGTGTAGTCGCGTCCCCTCGAGGCCGCTCCAGGCAGGTAAGGGTCCCAGGAATCCACGGTCCCGCCGCGAGCCGCGCCAGAGTCCGGGCATCCAATGCCGGGAGGCGGTGGCCCCTCCGGCGCTTTCCGCTCGAGGCTGCCGCTTGCCCCGTCTCTGTCGCCGCCGCCATCTTAGGCCTGCGGGTGGGCGGCCAGGCTGGTGGCCGGGTGAGGATGGTGGGCCCAGAGAGCGCAGGCGGAGCTGCCTCTAGGGCTCCTCCGCTGCTGCCGCCGCCACCGCGTTTGTGTCGGTCTCCGACTCTGAGTCGCCTCAGCCCGGGGGCGGGAGCGCGCGGCGGGGCGGGGGGCGGAGCCCGGGAGATGGGCCGGCGCGCGCGCGCCAAACAACCCGCCCCCGCTGAGGTGGGGGGGGAGGGGAAGGTGCACGCACCCTGCAGCTTGCCCCACCCCTCTTTCTGCGCGCCCTCGCGCCTGCGCGCTTCGCAAGCCCTTTGACTCCTCCCTGCGATGGTGGAGAATTCTGATTGGTGCATTTTTGAGCTGCTCCCGCCTCTTCTTCCTCCAATCCGGGAATCGGAATATCTTCCTTCTGGTGGGTTCTTCGGGTTGCGCAGATAGAATTGTTTATCCTTAAGCTGCTCTGCACCTGCCAAACTGCGGTATGCGTGGGGGTCGGGAAGCCACAAGATGAATAAAGACGTTATCTTAGTACTAGCTGTCTCTTATTGAGAGTGTACAATATGCTAGACTCTACGCATAGAGACCAAGGAGGTCGAGTGATACCGGTTTATAAGCAGGAAAGCGGCAGAAGGGTCTGGAACCCGAGTCTGTCCAGCCCCAGTGGTGGTACTTCGGCTACAGACCTGGGGCAGCGAAATCACTTGGGGAATTTAAAAAAAAAAATTACATATGTATATATAAATTTTTTAATGGTAAAATCTTCAAACGATGTAAATGAAAAAGTAAGTCACCCTGTGTCCCAGTCCCACTTTTCGTGTGCGTTTAAGAAGTACAAGTTCTGTGCACCTCCACTCCTCATTTCTCGCTGCTAAGATTCAGACTGAGGTACAGCAGTCTGAACTTTGTTCCAAGCCGCCAGGCGATTCCGATGCACAGCTGATGTTGGAAACGGCAGCGCCTTCACGCTAAGCTGTGCTGTTTGTGCCCGTCTGCGCGGTTCATCTACCTCCTGCTGCATCAATATCACAGACTATTTCTTTGGGGAAAATATTTTTGAATAAAGATGAACAAGATGTGTTATGTAATGTATTTGTACGTAGTTTTTTTTACAGACGTGATTCAGTAAGTGTGCCTGTCACTTGGTGGGGGGGGGGGGAGCTTGGGACTTACCCCCAGATGTGTGATGTGTATTCACTTAAAGGATACTTTAAGGAGCCTTGGTAGTACAACTGTTAAGTGCTTGGCTGCTATCCCACCCAGAGGCTCTGTGGGAGAAAGACCAGGCAATCTGCTCCCGTTAAGACTACAGTCAAGAAAACCTTAAGGGGCAGTATTGCTCTGTCCTGGGGCGTCACTGTGAGTCAAAATTGACTCCACATAACAACATAGCAGGGGTACTTGGATTGTCTAGCTTGGGTACTAAATTTTCAGGGCCCAATGCACAATGAAAAAATGTGGCTCTTTGTTAAAAAAAAAAAAAATTAAGAACTTCAAGACAGTGACAGCTGAGCATTAAATGAAGTGCAGGGCCCTTCTGAATGTGGGGCCCTGTGAGACTATGCAGATCTAGGACTCTCTGTTGGTTGGAAAGCTCGAGAAATACCCTTTTCATCCCTGGACCACACAGTGCTTCCCTCACAGTGCTTCCTGCCCTGTCCTGGGGGTTCCCAGTGTACTCTGTGCCCTTGTCCCTCTGCTATAGTCCCTGTCCTATGCCATTTCACAGGTCTGTGACTCTCTCCTTCTGTTTGTTCTCCAGCTGCTGACACACGGAGTCCCCTGGGTCCCTGTCCACTCCTCTGCTGACCAGTCTCCTGTGCTGAGCCTTCCTGCAGGCACCCCTTCTGCCTCTGTGGGCTCCTGCGACAGAGGGTCCATCTGGCCAGAGAAGAAAACCCTCTCATGCTAGCATTGCAGACCCCAGAGGGTGAGAGCAAGGGACCTCATTCAGTCTTGAAACCTATGGGCTAAGGCCCCAAGTCACCAGGATTCACTCCTCCCCGGAGAACCAAGGGAGCTGCAGCTTTTTCTCCCCTTGGTCAGTGATTCCAGACCTTTTTGTTACCAAGGCCCCCTTGTGTTGTATATATATATGTCCTTTTGCCTCCTGAATTTTTATTTGCCAGACTGCACCGATGAAGTAACCATTCATTTTTCCCTTTCCAAATTAACAACTAACATCTATAACTGAGTGTAAAATAAAAATAAGTGTCCCAGCAATTCCTATGATGTCGTCAACAGCCAATCAAAGCTTCTGATCAGCAAGAGATAATGTGACCACACTGAGTTGATAAAGTTTCAGCAAGCAAAGATAATTGATGTTTAAACTCGCCTTTGTGGTCTTTTTGTGGGTAAATGTTGGATATCTTTTGGGTGTTGTGACACTGAAAACAACTTTAGTGTCACCTGTCCTGTCTCATTTGGCCTTCTCCAGGGGTCCAGCTCCCCCAGGCTGGGAAGCACTTGGGCATTGAGGACTGTGCCAGGTGTGCTGTGGGTGGAGGTGGAGGGAATACAAATCCAAAGGAACTGACCTCCTTGCTGGTTCTTCAAGTAAATTTCCACCTGGGGATTATAAAGGACTGAATGAGATCCTCCTTCTCAGTCCCGCTGGTTGTTTCAGTGACCAATTACGTCCTGCCCTCTAGTGTATAATGGGGCACCCAGTTACATTCCATGCCCCTTCTCCAGCTGTGTTTTGTTCCAGTTCTATTTTGTTGTGTGGCAGCAGCGAAGGGGCAGAGTGACCAGTCCCTCTAGTAGGAATAGCATCTCAAGGCCCAGCCCTGCTGCCTTGTTTGCCACTCTTAGTGCTTTATAAATATTTGCCAAGTAAATCGAGCTCCTCTTGGAGCCAGATATTGAGCACTGGAGAGTGAGCTGTATTGCACCCAGTCTTGGGAGTTCTGACAGTCTCCTGGGGGCACACACCCAGTTGATAGACTAGACCATCTGAGTACTAAGAGGTCCCTGAAGAAAGGTTCTGACTACCTAGCATGAAAAATCAAGGAATGCTTCCCAGGGGAGGTGAACCTGGTGGCAAGCTAGGCAGAGGACTGGGGGAAGAATACTGTAGATGGCAGTTGAAGGAACTAAAATCTAAACCCCAGAGCTCCCTCTGGCACCATGCTGGACCTCCAGGATGGGACTGGAGTTCTCCCTCTCTGGGTGGTCACTGGGGCCCTCAGTGGATTGTGATGGGTGGGTGAGGGTGGTGCTGGCCTGACACCCTTTGGTCCTGTGTGCCAGGTCCCGTGAGGGTGCTGAGATGGCTAATGAGAATCACGGCAGCCCCCGGGAGGAAGCGTCCCTGCTGAGTCACTCCCCTGGCACCTCCAGTCAGAGCCAGCCGTGCTCTCCAAAGCCCATCCGCCTGGTGCAGGACCTCCCAGGTACTGGCAGGGGGCAGTGGCGGGGTGGTGGGGGAGCAAGGGCGACCTGGGAGCAGTCCTTAACCTGCCTGGGCTCTGTGCTTGTTTGCAGAAGAGCTGGTGCATGCTGGCTGGGAGAAGTGCTGGAGCAGGAGGGAGAACCGCCCCTACTACTTCAACCGATTCACCAATCAGTCCCTGTGGGAGATGCCTGTGCTGGGCCAGCACGACGTGATTGTGAGTGCCAGCCTGGGGTGGGTCTCTTGGCAGCCTGGAGGCTTCCCCAAGTATACCCTGAGCTGCGGTTACGCCCCTAGCCCTGGACCAGGACCTAGGAATACAATAAGAAAGACATACAGTCCCTGCCCTCATGCAGCCTGCACTCCAGGAGGAAAGTGACAACACATTTACAATAGTGTGGGATACTACACTTTTGCTTCCCGTTGGGCACTGTGCCAGTTATGCAGTCATCAGTTAGATGTGGTCTGTGCTCTCTCTTGGGGCTCCATCAGCCGGACAGGGTCAGGCATTGACCAAATGACCACAGGATTACAGCTGAGGCACTTATATGAAGAAGAGTGGGTATGGTATCTGTCAGGGCAAGGGTGGTCTGGGGAGGTGGTGGTACAGGAAAAGCTGCTCTGAGATTTAGTGCTGGGAAGGTCAGCCAGGTGGCAGTAAGAGAAGCAAAACATCCTGGAGACTGAAAAGCTGGTGTGATGGGGAGTCCTGGCACAGGCCGCCGGGCAGAACGGGCCCTTAGGTCCCTCGGTTGGGGCAGACTTTCTTCGCTGGGCACAAGGAAGCCACTTGGCATCCCCATTTTGCTGAAGACACTGAGGCAAAAGAACAGGAAAGTGACTGACCCAAGGTCTCACAGAGCAGAACTTGCATCCTGACCCGACTTCAGGGCCCCATGTATGAGCGTGGACATGTGCTGTCAAGGTCACGCAGGTGCATCCACCGGGGCCTCGCTTTTTCTTATTTATCAAGCACTTCTTGGAGTTTTCCTTTACTGTTGCCCTTTACTCTGGTTCTTTAGGAAAAGGAATTAGCAGACCTGAGCCTCAATCTCATGCCAGCATTTGTTCAGCAGGTCGTAGTCATTGTCTCAGTTCCTGATCCTCTCGGTGCTGAGGTCGCGCTCAGTGCGACCTTTTGGAAAGTGAGGGAAAAAGGAAGTAACTTGATGTCCATGGTCACACAGCTGGCGAGCAGCAGGCATGAGTGGAGTCCAGGTCCCCTATTCCAAGTCCAGGGTAGTCCAGGTCCCCTATTCCAAGTCCAGGGTAGTCCAGGTCCCCTATTCCAAGTCCAGTGTCTGCCTGCATCCTGGCCCCCTCTGCTCCTCTCCACGGAACAGGGGCAGGGGGTGGGAGGGCAGCAGGAGTCCACAGCCAGTTGCAACTCTGCTGGTCTCCCTCCACCAGTCGGACCCTTTGGGGCTGAATGCGACCCCATTGCCCCAAGATTCAAGCTTGGTGGAAACCCCCCCGGCTGAGAACAAGCCCCGAAAGCGGCAGCTCTCGGAAGAGCAGCCAAGTGGCAACGGTGTGAAGAAGCCCAAGGTGAGTGCCTGCCTCTCAGGACCTGGCGGTGAGCAGTCAGCTGAGTGAGGAGGCAGGCAGCCTGACAGGGCTGGGCAGCAGCATGCTGGTCAGGAGGGCCGGGACTGGTTCCCCAGGCGCTGGAGTGTTGGAGCCCGTCTGCAGAATTTCCCGACTTGATACCTTTGTGGTTCTTTCACTCCAGATTGAAATCCCCATGACACCCACAGGCCAGTCAGTGCCTAGCTCCCCCAGTGTTCCAGGAACCCCAACACTGAAGATTTGGGGTGCATCCCCTGAAGACAAACAGCAAGCAGCTCTCCTCCGACCCACTGAGTGAGGCTTGGGTCACCCGTCACTGATGGCCACCTTGGGACTGTGGGTCTGGTGATGCTGGGCAGGGCAGCCCCTGAGCCTTTTCCATTTTCTTAAGTACTCTCGTCTGTGTCCCAAGGGTGTACTGGGATCTGGACATCCAGACCAATGCTGTCATCAAGCACCGGGGGCCTTCGGAGGTGCTGCCCCCCCACCCCGAGGTGGAGCTGCTCCGCTCGCAGCTCATCCTGAAGCTTCGGCAGCACTACCGGGAGCTGTGCCAGCAGCGAGAGGGTAACCGCCTCCCGGCATCGGCTCCCTCCTGTTTCCACCCACCACTAGGAAGTGCGGGAGAGGCAGCTGGGCTGCGGAGGGCGCAGTGGAGCCCAGGGGTTACGAGCATGCACTGTAGAGGGGAGTGGCCTGCTGGAGCCCCAGCCCCACAAACCGCTGGCTCTGTGATGTGGGGCTCATTGTTTAATCTCTGCACCTGTCTCCTCACCTGTAAAACGGGAAGATTAGCAGTACCTACTTGTAAGGGGGCTTGGGATCAGTAACAGCAGAAGTAATCATTAATGCTTCCATAGTACCTGTGGCCCAGCACTATTCAGAGCCCTCCTACGTCTCTGTACAAACACCCAAGTGCCTGTGCTCGGGGTTATTACCAGGAAGTGAAATGGCTAAGTGCTCAATAAACTGCAGCCTTTATTATTTATAATTAGTAAATAAACTTGCTTAGTTTGCGGAAACGTGGGACACCATAGAACGCTACTGACACACTTTAAAACCTGTGAGTCTCAGAGTTCTCTTTGGAAAATGCTGCCTAGGGGGTCCATTTTCTGAAGTAACAAGGATTACGCCTTACTGGCTGTTATCCTCCCGGGGCCCTACGCCTGTGCCAGGCCTAGGTGGCAGTGACACACAAACCTTCATCAGCTCTTCTGTCCCGCAGGCATTGAACCGCCCCGGGAATCTTTCAACCGCTGGATGCTGGAGCGCAAGGTGGTGGACAAAGGATCAGACCCCCTGTTGCCGAGCAACTGTGAACCAGTCGTATCACCTTCCATGTTTCGTGAAATCATGAATGACATTCCCATCAGGTACAGCCCCACAGCTGGGGAGGCCCTGGGCCATCTGGTCTCTGTGCCCAGTCACGCACACAAGGGCTCTCACCCGCCCCCTTTCTAACCCAGGTTATCCCGAATCAAGTTCCGGGAGGAAGCCAAGCGCCTGCTTTTTAAATACGCAGAGGCTGCCAGGAGGCTCATCGAATCCAGGTTTGGCACTCTCCCCTTCTGCCCTAAGCAAGATGGGTCTGTGACCAGAGGGGATAGATTAGAGGCCACCTGACCCACTCTCACTCAGGGCGCTATCACTGAAACTCTAGGAGTTGGCGCCACTTTGCAGTGCTCCAAGGAAGTGGGATGGGGGGGAAGGCAGAGCCCTGAATGGCTGGCCCTGTGCAGAGCTGAGCCACCTCTCTCTGCCCCTTACCTGGCAGGAGTGCGTCCCCTGACAGCAGGAAGGTGGTCAAGTGGAATGTGGAGGACACCTTCAGTTGGCTGCGGAAGGACCACTCGGCCTCCAAGGAGGACTATATGGTGAGTGGGCCACACGGCAAGGCCCTTAAAGGGTCTGTAGCCACTTCCTCCAGGAATGCCCCACCACACACATACACCAGCAGCTTGCTCTTAAGGCAGTGCAACAGCCCTTGACCCTCAGCATCCCCAGACTCAAGATGCAGATGTCGGCCCAGGCTCCTGGCCTTCTCCCAAAGTACACATCTTTAGAATTCTTAACAGAATCCTATGCTTGGCCACACACAAGTAGCTGCCCCTTCAGCTTAAGGAGTGTTCCATGTCTCCCCCTGAGGACGTTTTTGGAAACAGATTGACAACTGCTATTTTTTCAACCTGTGTGTTCATACCACATTTAAGAGCTACCACCAGATTCATCCCTGCTTTTAAGACGTCCAAGATGAATCCTGTTTTCTGGGCAAAACCCATCACTTGTTAAGCGTCTCCATGAGCATTAGCAGTGGGCTTTCTTTTCAGGACCGTTTTTCACAGGAGACCAGGTTTGGCTAGTAACTATGCACTTGACACATACTGACCAAGATAGGTGTGTGTGCACTAGTCAGAGGGACTCAGTTCCACTCACCAGGCTCTCACGTGACCTAGCAAAATAACAGTGCCTACAGTCATGCTTGCAAGTGCCATCAGCTTGAGTTTCAAAGCTGCAGTGACCAAAGACCCTCTACTTTGTAATGTCGCTCTCTCTGACAAATTGCAAATGCTTTGTAAGTTGGGACCGTGCCTGGTTTGTATGTTTGCCCAACATTTACCATAGGCTAGGGCACAGTTGAATGCCTACAGTAACTGCTGGCATTTACTGGAGACTTACTGTATGACAGGGGTGTGGTAAGCCCTTAAAGGGAAGGACTGTAACTGACGGTCACACCCCCTTGTCACACAAGTATCTCACGTTGCCTTGACAGTGGAAGGATAAAGTTCAGAGCAACCAAGGGATTTGTCCAAATGACACAGCTTATAAGTAGAGCTAGCTTTAAAACGGGGGCCTAGCAGAAGCCCTTCAGCCTCCTACTAGAGCCCTGATAGTAGGGTCTCCCCCAGGACCGCCTGGAGCACCTGCGGAGGCAGTGTGGCCCCCATGTCTCGGCTGTGGCCAAAGACTCCGTGGAAGGCATCTGTAGCAAGATCTACCACATCTCCCTGGAGTATGTCAAACGGATCCGAGAGAAGCATCTTGCTGTCCTCAAGGAAAACAACATCCCAGGTAGGGGGCTGGGGGCTAGACCTCCAGGCCTCGGGCTGGATTGGGGAGCCCCCTTCTTCCTGCTAGTGGTAATAGGGTGTGGGGTGAGGGAGCTTCATTGTGCCTTGAAGAGGGAGAGGTGGCAAAAGGAGGGCCAGAGTCGGGTGACCCGGGTTACCTCCATTTGCTTCACATCTCAGACTCCAGACTGAGGTGTCATGCCTGCCTTAGGGTTGTGCAGAGATTCCCTAGAAATGGAAAGGGCAAGGCCCCAAAGGATTCCTAAGGAAGGCACTGCAGCCTTAGGTTGGAGAGGCAGTTCAGGCGTTCCTGCCAGGCAGCAGGACCCACAGCCCTCAGAGTGCTCACTCCCTCCCGTACAGCAAACTCAGCATGCTGATGTAGGCCGCCCTGCCCTGCCCTGCCCATTGCTTGTTTCAGGACTGCCTGCTCTGTTACTGTGCCGTCCGAGCCATGGTTGACTCCTCTCTGAGTGGCATTTACCGCCTTTGGTTACTGGGAGGCTTCCATGCACACAGTGGGCCCTGGGCCATCTGGGGTGAGAATGAGCAGAACTGGGACAGGGACCGGGCAGACAGCCCTCACTGCTGTCCCTGCCCACAGAGGAGGTAGAGGCCCCTGAGGTGGAGCCTCGCCTGGTGTACTGCTACCCAGTACGGCTGGCTGTGTCTGCACCGCCCATGCCCAGCGTGGAGATGCACATGGAGAACAACGTGGTCTGCATACGGTATAAGGGCGAGATGGTCAAGGTCAGCCGCAACTACTTCAGCAAGCTGGTAAGAGCTAGGTGGGGGGTGCGTGAGACAGGCTGCCACCAATGGGAAGAACACCGTAGCTGATGGGACAGGTTGGGGCCCAGGGTCTTTCTTGACCTCAGTGGGCTAGTGATGAGGGAGTGGGGGCTGCTGCTGACACCCACCGCTTTCCGTCCACAGTGGCTCCTTTACCGCTACAGCTGCATTGATGACTCTGCCTTTGAGAGGTTCCTGCCCCGGGTCTGGTGTCTCCTCCGACGGTACCAGGTACGGGCCTGGGCAGCAGGGGGAGGACTCCCTTGGAGGGAGCAGGGGGGCTGAGCCAGTGACCATGCCGCTCTGCAGATGATGTTCGGCGTGGGCCTCTACGAGGGGACAGGCCTGCAGGGCTCACTGCCCGTGCACATCTTCGAGGCCCTCCACCGGCTCTTTGGCGTCAGCTTTGAGTGCTTTGCCTCCCCCCTCAACTGCTACTTCCGCCAGTACTGCTCTGCCTTCCCTGACACAGACGGCTACTTCGGCTCCCGCGGGTGAGAGCCATGGGCTGCTAGCCCCATTCTGCCCAGTCCTGGAAAGCTGTCCCTGGAGCACAGAACCCACGTAGGCCAGCTGCTTTGGACCCAGTTCTAGTTCTAGGGCTTTAGAGCCAGGCAGACTTGGGCATTGTTTCTGCCTTCACCACATACAGCTGTGAGGCCTAGGGGACCTTGGCGTTTGTGGAGCTGTGGGTAGGTATGTGGTGTCAGCTACCTGGCCTTTGTGACTCTCAGGGAATTAGCTCAGGTGTGGAATAGGAATGCCTAGTTCCAAACACTGAGAGGAAGTGGTAGTAACAGACCTTGAAGACTTGCAGACTAGAGTGGGGGCTGAGCAGAGATGTGAGGATAATGCTGTCTCCACACAAGAACTGGCCAGGTGGTGGTGGAGATGGAGCAGGGGAAGCCAGCAAATGAGGGATTTCTGGGCCTGGTGTTAAGTTTTGGAGGTCGTGAGGTCAGAGCAGGATCTGAACCCCCAAGCCTTCACCAATTCACTCATGGGGTGGAACATCCAAGCTTCTGAGCTTTTGTCCTTACCCATTCTATGGAGAAGGCCGTATCTCGTCCCAGGGCAGGGTAGGGGAAGATGCCCACTAAGGATGGATGACCAGGGCCCCCTTGTCAGGGTTACGCACAGTGGCCCCCAGTTTGGCTGATGGACTGGGGATGCTCACCTCTGTCCCCAGGCCCTGCCTGGACTTCTCCCCACTGAGTGGCTCCTTTGAGGCCAACCCGCCATTCTGTGAGGAGCTCATGGATGCCATGGTTTCTCACTTTGAGGTGAGTGGACTGCTGTTGCCAAGGGCTGGTGAGCTGGGTAGCCAGATGCTGGAAGGGCAGCCCCTGATGTCAACCTTGCACCCCTCCCATAGAAACTGCTCGAGAGCTCTCCAGAGCCCCTGTCCTTCATCGTGTTCATCCCGGAGTGGCGGGAACCCCCCACACTAGCGCTCACCCGCATGGAGCAGAGCCGCTTCAAACGCCACCAGCTGGTCCTGCCTGCCTTCGAACATGAGTACCGGAGTGGTTCCCAGCACATCTGCAAGAAGTGGGTGCCCAGGGAAGGCAGGGGTCGGGGCCAGGCGGGGCCCAGGCCGAGCCCGCCCTGAGCACTGCCTTTGCCCGTAGGGAGGAAATGCACTACAAGGCCGTCCACAACACGGCCGTACTCTTCCTGCAGAACGAGCCGGGCTTCGCCAAGTGGGGGCCGACACCTGAGCGGCTACAGGAGCTGAGTACCGCCTACCGGCAGTCGGGCCGCAGCCATAGTTCCAGCTCCTCTTCCTCGTCGTCCTTGGAGGCCAAGGACCGGGACTCAGGCCGCGAGCAAGGCCCTAGCCGCGACCCTCACCCTACTTAGCACACCCTGCGGGGAGGTGGAGCCCAGGGGTGCTAGTATGGACTGCTGGGACTCAGGCCCCTTGGGGCTGAGCAGATCCCAGGGCCCTCCCCCTGGGATGGCAGCAGGACTCAGGCTGCCAATGACATAGGAAGATTATGGCTCTGCCAGGGCTCCCCTCCCTGCTGTGTCCAATACCACACCTTGAACTCACTCCATGTCCCCTGTAAATAAGCCCAGATTCCTCCCCCTCCTGTACCCTAGCCTTCCTGCTGCCACCTTGTTTCATTCATAACGGAAATACAGAAACCCTCTGAAGAACGTGTGAGGATCTTGAGGGCAGAGAAGGCAGGCTGAGGAAACCAGAACTACTTCTGGGACCACACTTGCCTCCTCCAGGCTCACCTACTCCCATCCCTTGAGCCATCACACCCACCCAGGGCCCCATACCCTTCTCAGCTGACATCCCTACCCCACGAGGCCCTGAGGCTCAGTGTCTGCTTGGGCCTACAGAGCCCAAGGCCTGTTCATTATCCAGCTCTAAGCCCCACATTCCCATGCTGGGCCAGTGGTGACACTAGGGAGTGCTAGGCTGGAGGCTCTGTGTAGGCTGACGGCCAGACTTGCTGCCCTGGAGCCACCAGTGAGCAGGCAGGGCTCTGTGGGGCTCTCCCCAGACTTGGCCAGCTCCTGCTTTTAGGCCTTTGCCCTGAGCATCTGCCCAGCTGCAGGCCCCTGTACTTAGAGAGGCAGGGAAGTTAGAGTGGGCACAGCCTCTGGCCACTCCTGCCTCAGTGAGCTGTGAACAGGCTGCACCTTCTCTACTTCCTAGGTCCTTGCCTGGCACAGGCTGCAGCAGCAAGTGGACAGATCAGCCAGCCAGGGCTGGTCTCTGGTCCCTTTATTGAAACTGAGGGGCCAGTGGGTCCATCCAAACGAAAATAAAAGTTCTCTCCCAAAGCCTGCCTGCAGGCTGGGGCACCCAGCAAGTCCTGGCCGGGGCCCAAGGCCACACCCACCCCAGCAGCACTGCTCTGGCTCCCTCAGTGACGGGAGGCTGGCTGCCCAGAATCTGGAGACCCCTGGTTGTGGGGGGATGAGTCCCGGAGGTCCCCCACCCTCAGTGGGCCCCAACATCCATGGTCTGCATCAGGGCCTCAGTCGTCGGTGAGGGTGATGACGTCATACTCGATGCCCTGGTGCTGCAGCTGCTGGAGGTGCTCCTGCCCCGCCTCTTCCGAGCTGAACAGGCCCTGGGCTTGGGCCATGGCTGCGTCAGCCACCGCTGCCAGAGAGGGAAGGGATGAGCCTGAGGCCCAGGCGCTGGGCCCACACCCCAGCTTCCATGGTTTGGCCTCATACCTGTGACAGCTGAGTGTGCTGCAGCCTCAAGCTGAGCCTGTGTGACAAGCTGCTGGTCCGGGGACACAGGCACATACTGGATCTGGAGAAAAGAAACCGATGAGATGTGGCCAGAAGCCCTGCCCGCATGCTGGCCACTACCTCCCTGATGTAGGGTGTTACCTGGGAATCCTGAAGGAACGGAGTCCCTTGTTCATACTGGATATGTGTGATCTGGCCCTCCTGTAGCTGGAGAGAGAAACCAACCCTGTGATCCCAGGAGGAGACTATGTAGCCCTCCCCCACCCCTCCTCCCTGGCCCGGGCCTGGCCCACCTGGATATGATGTCCTTCAGGGACGACGACATACTCCTGGGGGAGCAAGTGCTGGACTCCATCCTGGGAGATGATGTACTGTACCTGAGAAGGGTGGAGAGGAAGCTGAGGGCTCAGCTGAGAAGGCAGAGTGAGCACCAGGGAGCGCCCCCCCCCCAATCAAATAATGGCAGCCGTGAGGACCCAGGGAGTGGGGAAAGGAAGGGGGACAGGGCTCAGCAGGTCAGCTGCTGCTCACCTGGTTGTCGGAGGTTACCAGGTGCTGTACTGTCTGGCCATCTGCTGTAGTGATTTCCTGGATATAGGTGGCTTCCTCCTGCCAAGGTCAAGGCAATGCTAGCCTCCATGCTCTGCGCCACCCCACTCCTGCCAGTGGCCTGCCTACCAGAATCCCTGCCTTGGCCTCTCACCTGGTTGGTCACTGTCTGCTCCTGGGCCACAATAATGTGTTCCTGGCCCAGGGCCTGCTGCAGTCGTTCTGGTCCAAGGACCCCATGACTGGACTGGAAGGCCGCTGGGCAGAGAGGAAAGACACTGACCAGGGCCCTTTCATACCCCTCACCCACTCCAGCAAAAGGGTACCTCGTGGACAGTGCCTCATGCCCCTGGGCCCACCGGCCCATCCCCAGGGCCCACCCTGTGGCTCCTGGGGCAGCTCACTGTGCAGAGTGGCCAGGGTCTCCTCATCGCTGTTCAGGATGATGGTCTGGGTAGGGGTCTGGGCTGGAGGAGCCCCCAACTTCCTCCCGTCAGGACTGTGCAGCCGCTGGATATGGAACTTGAGGTGCCCGTTCCGGTTGAAGCTGAGGAGGGGAAGGAGGCTCAGGCCCGGCCCAGCCCTGGGGGCCTGGCAGCACCTCCCCAGGGCCCACCCTCACCGCTGCCCACAAAGGTGGCACTCAAAAGGCTTCTCGTTGGTGTGGGTCAGCACGTGCCGCCGCAGATCCTTCTTGTTCTTGGAGGCGAAGCTGCACTGACTGCACTGGTGGGGCCGCAGGCTTGAGTGCTGAATCATGTGGGCCTGCAGGAGGGCAGAGCAGGTGCAGGCTGGTGGGAGGGTCAAAGGCAGCAAACCCCAGCTCCTCACAGAGCTGTTTGGGGAACCTGTCCCCAAGTGGACTGGACCTGAGAGACCAGCACACTGCATCAGCAAGGAGCATGGAGGCTAGCATTGCCTTGACGTTCACACCAGACCAGAAGCTCCTGGGCTGCCTGTGTGCCTCATGAAAAGCCCTAGGTGGTGTCTTAGGTCACTTATCCTGTCCCTGCTCTCAGACTGTTTGTCCATAGGTAAGCTACAGGTATTACACGAGAGGACCTCAAGGTACCCTCCACCAGCCCTGGCAGCACGAGGGTCCAAGCCTCACGTTCTGGAGGGTGGGGCTGGAGGCTGCTCACCTGAGCTGCTGTAGGATTCAGTGCAGGGCTGGATGTGAAAACTGGGAGCTAGGCAAACAGCATGACTGTGAACCTGCTCCAGAACCTGCCTCACTCACCTTCTCAACTTTGGCTCCCCACTCTGCCCTCGAACTAGAACCTCTGTATTCTAGACAACTCCGATTTCCTGAAGCATGCCGCCCGTCTCCACACCTCTGTGCCTTTGGTCCTCTGGGACACCTCCACCTGTGCTATCTACCACGTGTACTCTGTTCTCACTGGAGATGCTGTCTGGCATTTTTCCTGTTATGTCTGGTCTGGCTCCCCACCAGACTGGGAGCTCCCTGAGAACCGGGGCCTGCTAAGACATCTCAGTGATCCTAGCAGTAACAGAGGGCCTGGTTGAGGACATGCACAATAAAGATTTACTATCTAAGTGAGCAGCCAGGGGCACCTACCCGGACCTCAGGCCACTGGCGGGCCCTAAAAGGGCAGTCTGGGCACTTGAAGGCACTAGGCCCGGCGTGGGCCCGTTTGTGACTCTCCATCTCGGCTCGGCCGGGGAAAGCCTCAGCACAGATCTTGCAGGAAAACTTCTTTGATGTCACAGCAGCTGAAGACGATGGAGAGGGAGGCACTACCAGGCCCAGGGCTTTGCTCTTTGCCAAAGGTGGGGAGGGGGCGGCCTGCAGGTCCCTGCCTCGGTGGGTCCTGGCTGAAGAGGGGGGCTCTGGCCCATCTCTGGGCAGCCCCCCACACTGCAGCATGGGCCACTTGGCACCTGAGGCCAGGGCTTCAGAACTTGGGAAGGAGATGGAGCCATCAGCAGTCAGCTGTGGAGACAAGGGGACCATGAGGGGCCAAGGAGGGCACAGGGTGGGTTGAGGTGGGGCAGGGTGGCCACCCAGGGCCTCACCTCGATGTGGTGCAGTTGGGTGCCATCAGCTGCCATGATGTAGTGGGTGCCAGCTTCCTTCAGGGCCTCGCTCACCACCACAGCCTGGGCTGCCTCCCCAGGGGGCTCCTCACTGTGGGCACAGGGATGGCTAAAGTGGGCTTCTAGGAGAGGATGGCGGAAGGAAGGTGGGGCGATCTACTTCCGCAGTGATACTGCCTCGGGAACCCAAGGAGGGGTGGCTGTGAGTCGGGGCCGACTCAATGGCACATAACAACAACAGGAGACAGGAGAGGATGGAGGGCTGCAGAGGTCCCCTCCCCGTGAACTCAGGAGCTGGAAGGGCTTGGTTTGTGTCCTGGCTCTGCCTTGTGTCAGCTGACCTTCCCTACTAATGACCCTTCACTTGATGATCATCATGTGCCCAGCAGATGTCACCGCTGAGTGCCATCAAGTCAATTTTGACTCTGAGACCCTGTGTGTTACAGAGCAGACCTGCCCCACAGGGTTTCCCAGGCTGTAACCTTTACAGGAGCAGATTGCCAGGGCTTTCTCCCCTGGAGAACCAAAAGGTTCACAGCTGAGCACTCAACTGTTGCATCACCAGAGTTCCTTGCCCAGCATATAGTTCTGCTCAAAAGGTAGAAATCCCATCTTCTCAATGGACATGATGGAGTGTAAGCTTAGAGCCTCAGGGGTCCTGCCCAAGTGGAGCAGGTGGCAGATGGGGGGGCTGGCTGTGCACCTGGCAGTTCCAGAGGCCAGAGTGGGAGGAGAGGTAAGTGCAGCAGCAGGTGCTGAGACACTGACTGGCTCTTCTCCCGGCCTGGCCCCAGCTAAACAACTGGGGACTCGAGTCTGCCTCAGACTGTGCTGGCATTCAGTGAACATGTAAGCATTTCTGCCCCAGATGAGCTCAGTGTCGAGAAAGCCAAGTTCAAGGGCAGGACCTCAAATGCCAGAAATTGGGGCTTTGTCACCAAAGAGACCTGAGTTGGAATCCTCACCATCACAGGGGGACACAGGTGAGGTTAACCTCTCTGAGCCTGTGTTTTCATCTGACTCTCCACCCAAGCAAGCTTATAAAAGACTGGAGGGGGACTTGCAGGCTGCAGGTCTCACCTGTAAGGTGTGCCAGGAGCTGATGTCCCCTCTTCCATGGGGGGTGCTGTGATGACGCTGTAGCCAGCCCCACCAAATGGCCCAGGCGCCAGGGTGATCTGCTGTAGGTCGGACGGACCCAGCTGGCTCTCGGCTGCCATGGTGCCCCCTGGCTCGGCCACGTGGAGGGTAACCACCTGTGGAGCGGCCCCTGATGGGGAGGGCTGCCCACCAGAGGGCGCTAACTCTCGTTCCACATCATCAGACTTCACCACAGCCACCTGCAACGGCATTCAGGGCACTCTGGGCAGGGCTGAGGCAAAGATCCTTAGCCACGTTGGTGCCCAAAGCTCTCCTGTGCCCCAGGCAGACCAAGGGTCCTCACCACTCAGTTGCACAATCCAAGTGCTTTCGGAAACACACTCTTTCCAAATCTTACCCAGTAGGTGGAAAGACTCACCAAAACTAGGCTAGAGTGCTTTTATCCCTTAGAGGCATGAGACATTTCTAGTTGTCACAGTTCAGGTGATGGTATGTGGGGGGGGGTTCGTACCACTGGCATCTTGTGTGCAGGGCCAGAGATGTTGCTAAACATCCTAAAACATACAGGGCAGCCCCCTCCTCAAAGATTTGGCCTCAAATGGTAATAGCACTAAGGTCAAGAAATCCTGCAGGAGACCCCTACCTCACTCTATATACAAAATGACCTCAAAATGGATCAACAACCTAAATATAAGAGCTAAAACAACAAAACTCTTAGAATAAAATATAAGCATAAGCCTTTAGGACCTTGATCTGGCAATAGATAATGACATCAAAAAAAAAAAAGATAACCAGGACTTCATCAAAATTTGAAAAAATACACATCAAAAGATGTTATCAAGGAAGTGAAAAGACAATTACAGAAAGGAAGAAATTTTGTGGAAATCATGTATCTGGTGAGGGTTTCCAAGGTAGTAAATCTTTATGTAAGTAGATTGCACCATTTTCCTTCTGTGGAGTGGCTGGTAGGTTTGAACCACCAACCTTCTGCTTAACAGTCAAACGACTTAGCCACCAGAGCTCCTATAAAATGGTACAACAATATGGCACTTCCTTTTAAAAAGCTGGAAACAGAAATACCATTTGACCCAGCAATCTCATGACTAGGTCTATAAGCCAAAGAAGAAAGAGTTGAGCATAAACAGATACATGCACACCTGTGTTCATCACAGCGCTATTCTCAGTAGCAAAGAGATGGAGACAACCTAAGTGCCCATCAACAGACGAACGGACAACTATGGCACATACACACAATGGAATACCATGCCATACTAAAGAGTAATGAGGAAACACTGCAAAAATAAAAATAAAAAAAAGTAGAATGAAGAACCATTATTCTTCTGTGGGTCCACTACTGCAAAAGTCAAGGCAAGGTTTACATACAGAAGGAAACTTTCTTTGTTGGTTACCAGGGATGAAAGGGGAGGGGAGGAAAAATTGCTAGCTAGGTAAGAGACAAATATAGATTTGGGTGAAGAGAAAGCCAATATATCAAAAGTGAGTGACCAATGGTACAGCCATTGTGGAAAGCAGTATGGCCATTCCTTCAAAAGTTGGAATTAGAAATACCATTTGACCCAGCCATTCCTTTACTAGGTATATATCCTAAAGAAGTGAGAGCCATGACAAGAACAGACATACGCACACCCATGTTCATTGCAGCACTATTCATAATAGCCAAAAGATGGAAACAACCTAGGTGTTCATCAGCTGAGGAATGGATAACGAAACTATGCTACGTACACACAATGGAATACTATGCAACGCTGTAGAATCTGCAAAACACTGCATAATGTGGATGAACTTGGAGGACATTATGCTGAGTGAAATAAGTCAATCACAAAAGGACAAATATTGTATTAGTCCATTATTGTAAAAGTCAAGGAAAGGTTTATCTATAGAAGGAAATTTTCTTTGTTGGTTATCAGAGGTGGGAGGGGGAGGGAACATTGTTAGACAGATAGAGATAAGTATTGATTTGAGTGAAGAGAAGGGCAATGTACCCAATGTGAGTGATCAGTATGGTGGCATGGAGGAAGAGAAAGACATAGAGAGGTACATGGGAGGTACAGATAACAAAGATGAACCCTTTTGCACATACAGTACTGTGTTGTCATTGAAGGTAAACATGGGTATATGTGTGGATAGATGGGTGGACAGATGGGTGGACAGGCTGAACTAGTAGGTATGTCTATGAAGCGTGGAGTGTACCCAAGAACATGTATAGGGTTGGCAGACAACGGTCCTATAAGTTTATGTGAATGATCTGAATTCCCAGGTGTATAGTAGAGCTGACAAGGGGCAAGGTGGTAGTCACTGCTTAGTCACAGCCAGCTACCCAGAGGGACCAAGTAGTTGAATCTATGGGCTCGGGACCATAGTTGCAGAGGACATCAAGCTCAAGTGGCATAACATAATACACAAAACATTGTTCCACCTCCTACTTTGGCAAGTAGTGACTGGGATCTTAAAAGCTTATAAGCTGCCATCTAGATGCAACAATGGGTCTCTCCTTGTCCAGAGCAAAGAAGAATGAAGAAAACCAAAAATTCATGGATACAATCAGTCCTAGCAACTGGTACACCATCCAATCTGCAGCCTATATGACTATGAGACGAGAAGAACTAGAAGGTGCCTGGCTACCAATGTCAACCACTTGGAAGGGGATCTATGTAGGAGAGATCCTGGATAGAGAGGGAGAACAATGTGGACAAAACTCAAAATCATTTGGAGGACAAAAAAAGGCGGGGGGGACCAGGTTTGCTGCTCTGATAGAGCCTGGTGGAACCACCGAGACTATGGCCCCTAGCTGCCCTTCAGGTCTGGAATTGAACCCACACCTGTGGCTTCCAGCCAAGCAAAAGATAGGCATATGAGTTGATCATTTACCTGAGGTAGATACACTCCTTGGAGAGAACAATCATGAGAGAAAAAAGGGCTGCTTATGCACCAGGAGACAGCTCAAGGGGCAGGAGGGCATGGAGGGATGGACACAGGGAAGAGGTAATTAGCGGGAGGAAGTGGGAGGGGAGCTGTTCCATTGTGGTAAATTGTGGTCAATGTCATGAGACAAAAGGTATGTGAACTACTGTGTGGAAAGTGAATTTGCTCTGTAAATTCTCACCCAAACCACAAGTAAAAAATAAATAAATAAATAAAATAAAGTGAGTGACCAAAAAATAACACTAAGAAAAAGGAAGACACAGAGAGGTGCCCAGGAAGTACAGCTAACAAAGGTAGTTAGTATTACATACACAAGACTGCATTATCAGTAATAACAAACATTAATCTATGGGTGGATACACAGGTAGACAGGCAAGATGATCAAGTATGGGCAGACAAATGGGAGTATGTCCATGACCATACATGGGTTTGGCAGATGATATTTCTGAATACGTATCTGTATGTGCACATAGGAATGTCCACATATATAACAGAGCTGATGAGGTAAAGTTATGATAACTTTCTAGCCACAGCCAAACACCTTGAGAGAGTGAGCTGCTGGGTCTGCAGGCTCGGGACCATGGTTGCAGGGACATCAAGCTCAGTTGGCATAACACACTACACAAAAACATAGTTACACATTCCACTTTGGTGAGGAGTGACTGGGGTTTTAAAAGCTCACGAGCAGCCACCTAAGATGCAACGATTGGTCTCTCCTCGTCCAGAGCAAAAAGGAGTGAAGAAAATCAGACACATGGGACAATTAGTACAAGGGACTAGCAGACCATGGGATCATCAGCCTACATGACCCTGAGACCAGAAGAACTAGATAGGGCCCAGCTACCACTGCCAACCACTTGAAAGGGATCAAAACTGGAGATCTTGGATAGAATGGGAGAAAAGTGTGGAACAAACTCAAAATCATAAAAAAAAAAAAAAAGACCAGGCTTACTGGTCTGATAGAGACAGGTGAAACCATGAGACTACGGCCCCTTGTCACCCTTCGGGCCTGGAAATGAATTCACTCCCATGGCTTAACTTTCAGCCATATGACAGGCCTACAAGATGAACAATTATACTAGGTAGGTACACTCCTTAGAACAATCAACCATGGGGGATCAGAAGGGCAGCATTTGCACAGGGTAAAAGCTCAGAGGGCAAGAATGTATAGGAAAGAAGGACACAGGGAAAAGGTAACCACTAGGAGGAAGTGCGGAGAGAGCTGTAAAATAACGGGGCTTGTAATCAATGTCATGAAACAAAATGTGTGTGAACTGTTGAGTGGAGAATGAATTAGCTCTTTAAACTTTCACCCAAGTCACACACACACACACACACACACACAAAAGTGTGTAGGCAAACATAGCCTGTGGTGCCCTGATAAACTGGCTATCCTTTTATAAGGCTTCATAGCCTCTTAACCCACCAATTCTACTTCTAGGAGATTTTTTTTTTTTAATGTTTATAAGCATCTGAAACTACACGTGTACCAAAGCACTGCTTGCATTAACAAGAAACGGAACGACCCAACTGATAAAGGACTAACTTAGCTTTTTAACATCCCAGTGATGGGATGATATGGAGAGGCAGAGGGGCACTGTGCATGCCAGGCAGCAACACATACATCACGCGGTGCTGGTGAAGAAGCAGCACATTCTGAGCAGTGTGGGCAACAGGACCCCGTTTTGTACGGAATGAAAGGTGTGTGTGTAGTGGACCATGGACAAAACTCTGGAGATAACCTGCTCACAGCAGTTACCTGCAGGGAGGGGAGGGGTGTGATGGGCTCTCGCCTTCTGTATTAAACGTTCCTGATTTTTCCTCTTAACAAGAAACATGTTTTTGTAATCAGAAAGAAAAACACAGAATGGCACGATAGTGGTATACCAGAACAGCAGACTGACCAACAGAACAGAACCAAGAAGACTAGAATAGACTCCTATGCACGGAGATCTAGCGTATGATGAAGGGGCATGTCAAGGTTAGATTATTCATGACATAGCATCAGGTAACTCTTTGACAAAGAATTATATCTGACCCCTACCTTTTTCTTACACCAAAAATAAAGTCCAGGAATACAGATTTAAGAGTGAAAAATGAAACCCGAAGAAAAAAGTACAAATGCAAGTTTCTGCAGTCTTAAGGTGAAGATGGAAGGAGGCCTTGAAGGTAGGGTTCCAAAGGCAACACCATGAAGACTGATACACTTAATCATCTAAAACCATGAAACTTTGATGTACCCCCAAACACCACAAACAAGATCCTATTATTTCCAAGTCCAATGTCACATTCCCCCCACCAAGGAGTTCTCTGCCCTCCAGCCTCCAGCAGCATGTCACAGCTCCAAGCTCCGAATTCACTGTCTCAAACCCTCTCACCATCATCTCAAGAGGCCGGGACACAGGGGGTGCTAACAAAATCCTCTTGGAGATGGGCTGGCTGTGCTGGGGTGGAGAGGGGAAGAAGTGGACCCTGAACTCCATGTAGGACCTGCTGGCCTCGAGGAGAATATGCTAAGAGCAGAGGCCTGCCTGAGCTAGAATAAGCCCAGGGACCCTCAGGGTGTGGAAGTCATGGAAGGAGGTCACTAGGCTAACAGTAACCTCGTTGAGGGCCCCGGGGGAGAACACACAGGCACAGCACGGCCACAGAGTGAGGAGAAAACCAAGCCACGATGGACCTGGAGGCCTGAGGAAGCAGTGCACGGAGCCCAGCATGCAGAAGTCAGCAGCAACTGCAGAATGGGGGGAGAACCGGAAGCTCCTCTCATGGGACCCCTGGCACAGCTGGCCCCTCCCTGCACCCGTCCCCTGGATCTCAGTGTGTCTGTCCCCCACTAACTGGAGCCTCTGAGGGTGGAGCATGTCTGCTGCACTGCTCTGCTCTAGCCTGAGGTCAGCACAAGGCTGGGCATGGAAGGTATGGGGCAGACGGGTCCCCAGGCACTCACCTGCAGGGCAGTGCCCCCGAGCTCCCGCTGGGCGCTCATGTTCAGCAACAGATCCAAGGCCGTCTGGGTGGCCATGGCGGTCGACTCCTCCATTCCTAGGGAATGGGGGTGGGGACCTGGGCCTCAGAAAGGGCTGGAAAACTGGCACCCAATACCATCCCTCCTCTCTTCCAGTCCCCACCTGCTTGATCTGTGCCTCTGCCCAGCCCCCACTCCTTCCCTCAAAGCTCACCCTGCTGGTAGATGATGGTGGCGCCACCCAGGGAATCAGAACACAGCAGTGGAGGGGTCTCAGGTGACTGAAAAGGCGTTGCCTCTGCAGAGACCTGTGGGATGGGGCCATGGCAAAGCCTGAGAAGGTCTGTGATTTGAAAGCCATTTACTCAGCCCCTCCTGTGTGGCAGGCACATTACATCTCTTAGCCTGCTTCATGGTCAACACCACTTTCCATGGTATTTTCCACAACAGCCCATGCTACAGATGAACACACTGAGGACCAGAGGGATGAAGTGACTTCCCAAGACTCCAAGGCTGGTAAGTGGCCAAACTGGCACCTGAACCCAGGACTGTGGGGCTCCAGCAGCTGTGTTCTCCCAGCACATCATGTAGTCCATCTCCCCAGGGCTGCTGCGTGAGTGCACATGTGGCTGAGACCACTGGCTGCCTACCTGGAACCCATTCTTTCTTGCTAACAGAGCTTCGACTGTCACTAAGGAGACAGTGTACCCAGGTACAAGGTTACATTTTCAGCCTTCCTTGCAGCTAGGTAAAGTGTGGCTAAGCGGGAACTTCTTTCTTGTAAAGATCATGAGGAAGATAGATGGGAGGCATCATTTCCACCCTTGTCCCAACCCTTCCTTCTGCTTCCTGCCTAGGAGGCAGTTGGGATGGCTGGAGCTCCTGCAGCTATACTGGACCATAAAGCAACCATGAAGCTGCCAAGTCCCATGTCTAGGATGGCTGAGCAAAAACAGAGGGAGCCTGGTCCCTGAGGACTGTGGAGCTACAACACCAGCCCCTTTTGGTATTCTTTTAGATGAGAAAATAAACCACTACCTTAATTAAGCTTCTAGAACCTCCATTCTCTTATTACTCACCCCAAAATGCCACCACTACTCTGAGCTTAGGGCTGACAAATCTGCAACCTCAGCTGAGCTTTACTATAGCCCAGACAGGCAGGGATCGTTATTGTAACCAATGAGCAAACAAGGATGCTGAGGCTGGGAGAGGTGACATCACACAGTTCTCCTGGCCCATGCCCCCCAGCTCCTCTATCCGCTGTTGCTCCTTGGCTGAGCGTACCTCGTGAGGTCCTGATGGGCTGGAGGGTGGCCCGGGGGCTAAGCTATGCTGCTGCTTCAGCTCCTCAATCTGCTGCAGAGAGAAGAAGGGGCGGCGGCGGGAGGGGGGCTCCTCAGGGTGGCGCCGCCCCCACTCCTCAAAGCTGCTCGCGTGGCGGCAGCGCACGTGCAGGCGCAGGTTCTTCTTGTGCCGTGTGCTGAAGTGGCAGTATTCACAGGCAAAGGGCTTGGCCCCTGTGGACACACATGGAGGGATGCTTGCAACCACCCAGCTCTGGCCCACTCCTTCCCGGAAGTCTTCCATGACCTCACGGACTGCTCCACCTGATTCATCCCTAGGCACATGGATGTCCACTCTGGGGGCTGAGGACAGGAATGAACTAGGCCCACCCTTGGCACTCAAAGGCCTTCCTGCTAGTGCCCGTTTCCAAGGTCATCTGACCAAACAACCCTCTTGTGAATCATCTCCTCTGGCAGACAGGAATCTGGCTAAGAAAGCGCTGGGGGCTCCCCTTCCTAATCTTCCCACAGTGTGCCTACCACAGGGATAGCACCAAGGAGGAGGAAGAACCAACAGCTGTTGTACATCTTCAATGGGCCAAGCACATGCTGCTACTTCATCTGCCGAGGATGGGGTCTAGGCAGATTTGTTTCTGGCCCTGTGCCCAGCACCCAGACAGGACTCAAGGAACAGATGAAATTAACTTTACTGACAAGGACATGGTAGCTATTTCTGATTTCCCCACTTCCCAGCTAAGGACACTGAGGTTCAGAGAGGGCAAGTCACTGGTCCAGGGTCACCCAGTGAGTACGTGGCTGAGCTGGAATCTGAACTCACGCTAGAGAGTGAGCAGAAGGACTCCAGCTGCACCGTGGCTGGGACTACCCAGGAGGAAGAGGACAAGAGCAGAGTCTCTGACCCAAGCAGTGGGGGATCTGAGGGCTGGTGGGTGGGGCTGGGGTGTGGCCTGCCTACCTGTGTGCTTGACAGCCACGTGGGACAGCAGGAAGTCCTCTCGGAAGGTCCGGTAGGGACAGAAGCTGCATTTGAAGGGCTTGTCGCTGACGTGGGACAGCTGGTGGTTCAGCAGTGCCTTCTTGTCCTCGCAGACAAACTCACAGAACTCACATTTGAACCTGGAGGCAGTTGGGGGAAGAGAAGCTCAGGGATGGGGGTGGGGTGATAGAGAGGTGCTCCCATTCCCAGGGGGCTCCTAGGGGGGTATACCTGCGGTTGGCAACAGCCTGGATGTGCGTGAGCAGGTGCATCTTGAAGGTGTAGCGCTTCTTAAAGGACTTGCCGCACTGGGAGGAGCGGGTAGAGGATTAGATGGTGGGTTCACCCAGGGGAGCCCTTTTGGCCCCAGCCCTGCCCACAGCTCCCACCACCTTGTCACACATGTGGGGCTTCTCAGTGCTGTGGGTCTTCATATGCTGTGTAAGCCTCTTCTGCATGGGGTAGACACGGCCACACACAGGGCAGGGGAAAGAGCTCAGCTTCGGGGTCTGAGAAGGGACCAGAAGGGGCCAAACAGAAGATCAAGAGAGGAGAGAGAGAGTCACACACACACACACACACACACACACACACCTCAGCAGCCTTTACACACACACACACACACCACGACTCCATCCCACCCCCCAGCAGCCCTTCCCAGACCAGGGTTCCAGACTCACCGGATCTGGCCTCTTCTTCCTGAGGGAGAATGGCATAGGAGTTAGACCAAAGCTCCCCCAAGTCCCCCACCCCCCCAGCCCTTTGCATCGACTTGACCCAGCCTCAGCCAAGCGTCCCTACTCTCCACCCAAGTCTCTTTCCAACTGAGGTCTCTTGTGGAAAACATTAAGAAGCATGCTATAAGTTCTGCACCAACTACACTTGGAAAACAGTCACTGTAGGAGCCACAACATACATTTCTATGTTAAAGGCTCTGAGAAGTCATGCACGAAAGAGATTTCTTGAACTGCATTCCACTTGATGTCCCCTAATCTTATTTGGAACCTGAATCCAACCTCTGCCCGCCTGTCCTCATTCCTTCCTGCAGATGCAGAGTGCATTTTGATTCAGTGAGCTATTGCCAGGCCCCAGAGGATTGTCATTTCTCCCCCAACTTAGTGCTAAGTCTGTTCTCTCTGTCCCGTGAGAGGCTGAACATGGGTTTGGAGTTACCAGATCTTCGGATCATTTACTGAGCTCCTTCAGGCCACAATTTCCTTTAAGCGCTTTATCAATGACTGCCCCATCTTACAGGTGGGAAACTAAAGCTCACAGCAGAGAAGAGCCTAAATAGGGGACCTCAAGGTCTGCCCCTTTCTGAGCCAAGTGATCTGAGAGGAACTGCCTTGCTGATCATGTGTACAATGTGCTGTGAATGGGACTGGCCCTGAGCAGGGGGCCCAGTACATGGGAACAATGGTCCCTGGGCCTCCACTTCCCCACCCTGACCAGGCTCCCTGCTCCCAGCCCACCCACACCCACTGACCGGTCCCGGCTGTGCACAGCTGCATGTCGGATAACATCCTTCCGGTAGACGCTGGTGTAGTTGCACTCATCACACTTGTAGGGTTTACTGCCCACATGGTTGAACATGTGCTCCTGGGAGAGAGGTGGAAGGACAGTGGGCCGGGGCTCAGCTCCCTCTGCATTTCCACTCCCTGTGCCTGGTGTTGCTGTGGGAACAGCTCACAGAACCAAGGAGGGCCGGACAGCGGACCCTCTGCAACAAAGGCTGGGAAGACACTCTCTGTAAGTGCCCCTACTTGGCACCAGGCAGAGCCAACTCACCACATAACGGAGCAAGAAACTGAGGCTCAAGAAACAGGGGAAGTGACTTGCCATGGTCTCAGAGTGACCTTGTAGATGGCAGAGCTTGGGGCCAAACCCAGGCAGTGTGGCCCCACAGCCCACACTTTTCTCACCAAACTATGATCCACCCAGGTCACGGGTTCCCTGTCTATAAGGGAGGTAGCATTGCCATTGAGGCGATTCTGACTCATGGTGACCCCATGTGTCACTGTAAAACCACACTCCATAAGGTTTTCAGAAAGCAATCACCAGGTCTTTCTTCTGAGAAGCCTCTGGGTGACTCAAACTTGCAATCTTTTGGCTAGCACCAAGCCTGTTAACTATTTATATACCCAGGGACTCCTGCAGGCAGCACAGGGGCTTTGAAATCAGACTGCCTGCACTTCCTGACTCCTAGACAACTTGCTGTGTCACTTTGGCCAAGCTGAGCCACAGTTCCCCGGATCAGTAATGTAGGGCCATTAGCAACTACAGCCTCATTGGGCTGCTGCAAAGATACAAGAGTGTGCATACAAGCCTGGGGCCCAGCAGGTTCTGGATAAGGGAGGCTGGAGGCCCACAGCACCTTGGGCCCAGGAGAAAAAGCAGCCCCTTTCTAGAGATACATTACTGTCACCTGCTGGAGAACTCTTCTAACATCCTGAATTAGATGAGTTTTATGCCATCCGCTAGTTTGTGGTCACAGACAGGCAAATCTATGATGCCCACTATGTGGAAAGGCAACATCACAATGCACGGTGGCCCTCCCCATGTCCAGGCAGACATGCTTCACTGTGCCAGTGGGCAGATGTCTGCCCAACAGATGCAGGGGACAGTGATCATAGTGTGCAATTAGCTCCTCTCCCATTGCCACCTCCCCAGCCCAAGCCTCCCGACCACCTGCCACACCTTGAGTGAGGACCAGCGGCGGGAGCGGTAGCTGCACTGTAGGCACTTGAAGAGCTGGGGGTCACCGGCCTCATGGGAGTTGACATGGAAGCGCAGGTCCTCATGCGACAGGAAGCGGGAGCCACAGATTCGGCATAGGAAGGGCCTCAGTAGTGGTTTGGGTGACTTGTAATAGTACCTGCCAGGAGGGTTTGGAGAGAGGGCTGGCTGGGCTGGGAGCTGCAAGGGGCCACGGAGAAGCCACCCCAGCCCCCCAGCCCCAGCTGCCTCCCACCCTCTGAACTCTGCTGCACACACTTGCGGTATTTCTTGCCGAGGAAGCGCCGGGAGGGCCGGCCGCGGCGGCGGGGTGGGGCGTCAGGCTCATCCTGGCTGGAAGGGACTGCATTGTCTGCATCTGACTGGCTCACGGTGGGTTCCACGGGGACCCTCCTGGCCTTGCCCAACATTGTCCGGTGTCCTGGGCCAGAGGAGCTGGGTGCCTCGGGGTCCTGTGGCTCCAGGGGGCTCAGTCCATCCTGGGAACTCACCAGAGGCTCTCCTTCCACACCTGCTGCAGACATGCAGATCACAAACCAATCACAGGCCCATTAGTGTGTGCCCGTCTCCACAGTCTGTCACCAACCAGTGACGGCACGTCAGGCCACTCACTCCTTACGACAGGCCTGGCTAGAGGCCGGCACAGAGAGCCCCCATGCCCGGCAGCTGACATGCCGTTTGCACAACCCGACTTGAATAGGACCACAGTGGAGAAGCCACGGCCTCCTTGCCAGGAGACCTGGGTTATAGATGTGGCTCCGTCACTGATTTGCTGTACATCTGTCCACTCCCCTCTCTCAGCCTTTTTCCTTATCTGTCCAAGGGAGATGATAATTGCTATATTACTGATTTCACAGAAACAATCTAAGGTTTGGGAAGCAAGAGTGCACTTCCACGTTGGTTGCTCCTGTGGGGGGGGAACTGGCGGCTGGAGGGAAGATGGAGAGGAAGGGAGATGTCCTCACACACGCTTTCAAACCTACTAAAGTTTAAACTATCTGAATGTGTGACCTATTCCAAAAAATATGCTGGTGCTGTTGAGTCAATTCCAACCCAAGGCGACCTCACGTGCCACAAAGTGGGACCGTGTTACAGGGTGCTCGTGGCTGTAATCTTCCCAGATCACCGGGACTTCCTTCTGTGGCCCCACTGGGTGAGGCTGAACTGCCCACCGTGAAGTCAGGAGTCAAGTGTAAGCCATTTGAGCTAGCCAGGGTCCCTCAACACAGTAAATCATTAAACATGTTGTCATTATCAGCTGCTGTCAAGTCGGCCCGACTCAAGGTAAACTCACGGGCAACAGAACGAAATGCTGTCCAGTCCTGCGCCATCCCCGTGATGATGGATTGGACTGTGTGACTCATAAGGTTTATCACTGGCTGATTTTCAGAAGCAGACTGCCAGCCCTTTCTTCCTAGTCTGTCTCTGTCTGAAGCTCCACTGAAATGTGTTCAGCATCTAACTTAGTCAGCATCAAGCAAACCTCCGCTGACAGGCAAAGCTTCACATGAGGTGGATTAGCCAGGAATTGTACCCAGGTCTTCCATGCAGGAGAGAATTCTACCACTCAATCAGCACTGCCTCATTCTCCAGGGCTGGCCCTAGGCAACACCTGCCAGATAAGGGATACCAAGTCCCCTGGCTTCAGAAGACCACTCAGAAGGCCACTACAGCCTCTGCAGGGCCAGCTGAAACCTGTTTTAGCATCAGAGGAACACACAAGCCTCCAATGACAGATGGATGGTGGCTGTGTGTAAGGTGTGCTGGCCAGGAACCAAACCCGGGTCCCCTTCATGGAAGGGGAGAGTTCCACCACCACACCACCACTGCCTCTGTTCAAGTATATTTAAAGTTAATCACGATGCAGACAGTGTCAGTAGCATGCTATTTCTTCACTGGGGTGCTTGGTTGTACAAGTGTATTCAATGACGACAATTCACTGAGCTATGTGCTTAGGAGCTGCGCACTTGTCTATATGTCCATCTCAGTAAAAAGCTATTTTAAGAAAAAACTAAAGAATCCAATGATCCCTTCCAAACAGGATATATGAAGTCAGCTACCACTTGATTTTGTTTTGTTTTTATTCTCACCAGTGCCCTTTATCTCTTCATGTGGACTTCAGGTGCCAGGCAGTGTTTGATTCCAGAGGACTGAAGGACTCCTCTCATGATTTCTTGTAGAGTGGGTCTTTGAGCCATGAATTCTCTCATGTTTTATTCACCTGTGAATATCTTCATTTCTCCTTCATTTTCAAAAGATAGTTTTGCTTGGTACAGTATTCTTGGTTGACATTCTTTTCTCAGGATTTTTAATGTGCCAGCCCATCATCTCCTGTTACCCATGGTTCTGCTGAGTGGTCAGCTGTAAGTCTCACTGACAGTCCCTTCTACACGATAGGCCCATTTTCTTCTACAGCTTTCAAATCTCAGCTTTTCAGTGATGTGTGCAGGTGTGGATCTTGTGTGCAATTTGTTTAACTTCTTAGATGTGCAGATTAATTTTTTAATCAAACTTAAGACATTTTTTGCCATTACCTTTTCAAATACTATTTTTTTTTTTAATTAGGATTTGGGTGAAGATTTACAGAGTAAATTCACTTCTCATACAGCAGTTCACATATACTTTGTCTCATGTCATTGACCAAAATTTACAATGCAGCAGCTCCCCTCCCACTTCCTCCCCATAGTTACC